TTCATCCAGTTTCTTTTTTATCCATTGAAAATATTCAATCATTGTTCTTTTAAAATCACTATCAGAAAGATCCATCAGGCTTTCTGGCTCCAAGAAATCCGTTGCTACTGTGTCTTCTTTGGGGGTTGATATCTTTCTTTGGGCTGGTGGGACAAGTGAAGAACTCTGCTTTCTACGGGCCAATGGTGTGGCAGAGTTCTTCGTGTCTGAGGTGGTAGCTAGTTTTTTTTTTGACGTCACTTCTCCAGAAGAAGGTTGGGCAGAAACAAGAGTAAATGTGTAGTGGGTGTGTGCACACTCCAACACTCACGTGAGTGGGGAGGGAGGAAGTGCACACTGATACCCCTTGGGAGGGCCTCAGGAGAACCTAAATAATGAAGGAGGAAGTCTGTTGTCCCCTTTCTGGAATAGCTTCCCCACTCTTTGGAAATGCCCTGTTGTTTGATTAGTGGGCCCTATGTACTCAGGCCAGAAACCAGTTTGATTCCCCACGTAACTTAATCCTCAATGGTACATGAGTATTTTAGGGGAGGTTGATATATCTTATAGATGTGGCAAATATGATTGTCTTCCTGGCCCGAGGGCCTAAATGGGTGTGGGGTATCTGAGTCACAAGCCCCAGCCTGGAACTGCCTCTGCTATCCTTGCAGATCTCCCAGCAAAGTCCAAGTTTACAAAGATGGTGTTTCCCCACATACCTCTGGGAACTGTAGTCAGTACCTGCAGTGGTAGCAGACAGGAAGGCTGGGTCGCCAACCCCGGCCTGGAACTGCCTCTGGTGTCCTTGCAGATCTCCCAGCGAAGTCCAAGTTCTTTTTTTTTTTTAATGACCATATATTTTCTTTACATTATTGACCATAGTTTTAACAGCTGCTTTAAAATCCCTGTGTGCTAAGTCCCACATCTGAGTCATTTCAGGGTTGATCTGTGTTGATTGTCTTTTATCTTAAGAATTATCACTCCTTCTGATGCATTGTGTGTCAAACAGTGCTAGATTTTTGCCCTGGTATTGTGAATATTATTTTGTGAAAACTGAATTCTATTATGTTCCTTCAAAGCATCTTGACCGTATTTGCTTTGTTCTGAGGAGGTCAATTTATCCATTGGATCCAAACGGAAAACTTTGTTAGATGGCAGCTCAAATCTCACTTCTAGTCTTTCAACTTTGGTTTTGCTGCTTTGAATCTGCCCTCATTGTGCATGCGTGAACCAGGCACAAATTTGGATAGATTTTATTCTATACAAACGTTGGAAATCCCCTTATTTGGCTCTCTCCTCCCTAGTATTCACACATACACACTCTCCAGTTGCCGTGGTTGTTGTGAACACTCTTTTCCAGTTCTAAGGCCATAGAGACCACGCTACCAACCTGAAGGCACGTGGTTTGAACCCATCAGCTGCACCACTAGACAAAATCCTGTGTGATTTACGATGTCTGAGAACCCACTGGAGGGTCAGCTCCAACTCATTAATACATAACAACAATACCAAAGTGAGGTTTTAACTCTAGTCTTTTCTCGGACTCTAAGACTCTTTAAACTGGGAAGCTCATCTTACGCTGTTTAGGTCTCCTAAGTATCAGCTGCTCTTCAGAATACACTGCTTTTGTTCACTGTCCAATGCCATCAAATGGTTGTGGATTTTGTTTTATGTTTTGTCCAGAGTTTAAAGTGTCTATCCATGGGAGGGTTTGTCTGGTAGAAGTTTACTCCTGACTGCTAATTTTTAGCTGTAACTTGCAAACCTGAAAAACTTTATTAAGAATCCCACTGAGTAAAACTGTAACACGAGAGGGAAAGGATAGCAAATAGGAAAATCAAAGGCTAAAATAGAGTAAAGTAAAAGTGGTAGGTCCCCTAACAGGAAGTCCAGAGATCCACTTAAGTGTGATGCATGCTTCATGGCCTAAAGTGCCTTCTTCTAAGATGGGAAGAATGCAAGAGTCGTCGATGGGCCTGGGTAAGGAAAGAAGCCTTTAATTTGGATAAAGTCAACTCCAGTCTGGTTTTTTGCTGTATGAGTGTCACTGTGCTGAGCACTCTGAGGTTTTGTCACGTAATGGCAAAAACATCCCGCTTTATCTGATCCTTTCCAGTATACTTTTGATGAACATTTGGGCTGTTTCCATTTTCTTGCAATGATGAATAACTCTGCTACGAACATACACATACAAATCTCTGTTTGTGTCTCTGTTCTATTTTCCTTGTGGTATGCTCTAGCAGTGGAATAGCTGCATCATGTAAGATTTCTAGAGTCAGTTTTTTGAGGAAATACCACATGATGGAATACTATGCAGCACTCAGGAGCAACCATTTTGTAAAATATTATATAACATGGGGGAGTCTAGAGAGAATCATGCTGAGTGAACTTAGTCTCATAAGAGCAAGTACCACATAAGACTATTATTGTAAAAATAGGATAACTTAGTAAGATGTGTATAAAAATCAAAGAGTGAAAGGGAGGAGGTGCCAAGAGGGTAGTGAGTAGGGAGGGGAGGAAAATATTGGGATGGCAGAGTTTGGTGGACAGAGGAATTGAATAAAGGAATTAAGATCATTCTACTGGGGACATGAAAATATGGGTTAGTAATGGGCAAAGATCAATAATAATTAATTTTATAAAAAACAATGTATAGAAATTGATCATTTGAAATACAGTGTGATGAAGGAATGTGTGAAACACAATGTACATGAATAAAACAAATAAAGAAAAAATAAAGAATAAAATAAAATTCATGATATATGAATTTTGTATGTAAACCAGTACGAAAGAAAAGAAAAAGTCTACTTTTTATCCTTAGGAAATTCGCAACATTCACAATGATGAACTAATGGGAATCAGACGAGAAGAAGAAATGGAAATGTCTGATGATGAAATAGAAGAAACAACAGAAACAAAAGAAACTGAGGAATCAGGTAAGGAAAAATTGCTTCGTTTTATCTAAGTAATACCTACTCATTGGAAGGATATTTAAAATCGTTACTACCCATTAAGTTTTATGTACCAACTGGACACAAACTAGAAAAAGTTGGTAAAGGCTAGCTGATTATTAACTGTATTGTAAGATTTTCTATATCTTTGTTTTATTCCCTTCGTCCATTCCAGCACGTAATTAACAGTGAATTTTCTTAAGACCAGTGGGAAGCTAGACAGTATTGGTCTGTGTACTAGTGAGTCCAGAAGAAGTCTGGAATAAATTTTGCAGGAACAACTATAAAATACCACATTCATAAATGGATACCTAGCCCCCTTTTAAGAGAAAAAAAAAATAGATTCATCCCTCACTTACAGCCAACACCAGAATTAATTATAGATTGAAGTGTACTAAAAAAAAACAAACCACATATAGCAAAAGAAAATATGGAAGTCATTGTAGTTGCTTATTTGGGATGAAGGTCATAAATGTTAAAAACCCTAAAAGAAATGCTTTCTAAGTTTGTGTGCATAAGAATTAAATGTTGCCTTTTTAAATTTTTTTAATTAATTTTAATGAATTAATGATTTTTACAGAGACTTAGGGTTTCCAGTCCTGCATTGTTGCACTTTTCTCCATACCCACCCCCTACCCCCCAATTCACTCTTCTTGAAAAGAAAGAAAAACTCATTGTTATACAATCCCTCCCCTCTAAGTCCACTCCACTATGCAGCCTTCACTCTGGACTTCTGTAATGACAAGAATACCCATTCATATGTTTGTTTTAAACAGTTCTCTCCCTGATCTGCTTCAATGCAATATACATCATTCCTCCGCTCCCTTTCTGTCTTCCCTCAACCCTGATGTCTGTCCAGTTTTACAACAGTGGCCCTATGCAATATTTGTCCTTTTGTAACTGAGATATTTCACTCAGCATAATGTTCTGCAGGGTCTTCCATTTACAATCACAGAGAGAAAAGAGAATCTACTAGCAAAGGAGAAGTATCTACAGTATTACTGCCTGCCTGTCTGCTGCTTGAGAATATATTGGAAATCAAATGGAAGTCCACAGACAGTTAAAAAGACTTTAAGGACCTCAATGTCAAGTAGAGGCTCAATGTCAGTATGGGTTGCTGGTAGAACCCATAGGGCAAACCCATTGAACAATTTGACAACCCTTGAAACCTTCCATTTCATAGTAAATTTTTGTGAGGAAATTGCCAGAGGGGAAAAAGAGGATCACCTAGAAGATCAGTGTTTTCAGGAAAATCATCTTAAAAAATGTAGGAGTCTATAAGATACAATGGCAAAGCACTGTTAAACACCGGGGTTCTAGCCTCAGCTCCGTCCTTGAACTTTAGCCTCCCCATATGTAAGAAGTACATTATAAAAGCCATCTAACAGTGGTGTTCAAGGAATTCATTCATCCAAAAACTATTTTTTTATGGCAAACTCAGTGCTAGACATTGGGAATAATCTGTTGGCCCTGCCATTGAGAAATTCACTATCTAGTGGCACCACTTACCACAGGACCTGGTACCATAGTACCATGTACATAGTACATGCTCAGTATAAGAGTGTGTAGACATGCGCCTAAGAGAGATTGGTTATCTTTCCAGTCTGATTTCCTGGTGTGAGGCAGCAGCTTTGAGCCACTTGATTGACTTCTGAAAGTCAGTCAGTCACTAAGTCTGACTTTTTTTAAGCATTCATTAGGTGTTATATCTGAGTTTCTACCACTGTTGCTGTGTGTTAGATTCTTAAACATATGAACAAACATGTGTATTGAATAAACCCTTTGTCGTTAGTGTCTAGTTAGCATCTTCAGAATACCGAACTAATTTCTGCAAATAAATGCCATGAACTTGGAGCCAAAATAAACAAAATGTTTAATAATTGAACTATTCAAATTATTTAAGTGCTTAGCCAGAATGTTTTATAACTTATTATATTTCTACTTATGGGATTCTCTCCACTGCAGTGTCTACAGTGGGTGTAAAGTTTTTATCCAGTGTTGTGCGATAAATGCAATCATAAGTTTGAACATCCACTTCATAAATTGCTGAGTTTGAGACATTATTGGGGGACGGGGGAGTGGCGTGTGGCTGATTCCACTTGTATGCCTTTAATACAGTGTCACTGTGCTCAGCAGCTAACTAAAAGGTCAGTGGTTCAAACCCACCAGCAGCTCTTCGGGAAACTACACGGTTGGCTGCTTCCATAAAGACTTACAGCCTTGGAGGCCTGATAGAGCAGTTCTATGCTCTCATAGAGGGTCATTAGGAGTCAGAATCGACTTAGCCGCAGTGGGGCTTTGCAATAATTGCATTTTACTTCTGTATCTCTTTTGCGTTGAAAGCTGCATTGGCTACTGCACAGAATCTGATTCGTTTAGAGACTGGAAGCTCCCTGACAGATCATCTTATAGCTATTTTCCTTCCTGTTCCACATGCCAGGATGCTGCTTTGTCAAATAAAGCTATCTACAATAGACTTAATGGAGCTTACCAAATAGCTTTTCTCCCAGAAGGTTTCAATTCATTTTAATTCAAGGACTTTTGTGCATTTTTCTTCCCCTCGATCGTATCTAATTTTGTTATCTTACTGCTGTAGTACTCAACCGCAGAAAGCCTGCTCTGTGGGAGCCAGTCGGAGGCTCCTCAGGCTTTTTATCTAAATCAGCTGCACGTTTAGCTATCACTTGGTTCCAATTAAAAGCATAAGAAACTAGATCTCCGAGTCTTTCTCCCGCTTGTGCTCCCTTTCCACCCTTCCCCATCCCGCCCCCCCCCCCAATTGCTAAGCCTAAATTCCAAGAGCCTGTAGTATGTTCTGGATAGATTTGACTTCCCAGAGGAATTAAAAGAGTCAAAACTAAACTGCTAGTCTTGGCTGCTTTCCTTTGAGTGCCACAGAAATACTTTCCTTGGAGAGATTCTATGTGAGCAAGGCCATATTTGTGATGCAGAGCTTCAAGTCCTCTTTCCATGGAAGAGGGGACTGCTGGGTTCAAAGACAAGTGTCAAAGGACGAGAATCACATCAAAGCAAATCATGATAGTGTGACAGTTCTGCATTCCGTTGTCAGCCATGATGTGTCCGTGGGCCCAGTAAACCTAAGCACAGCCAGCTGTTCTCATTTAGCATTTCTTTTTTTCAGCATACTTTAAAAAATTTTGATTTCTAGACTCCAGATCCAATTCAGTAGGTCTGCTGTGAGACTTCACTAGACAGCAGATGAAAACAAAATTGTTGCAAAATTTCCTCTGCCCTTGCTATTCAACCTCCTTTCCCCTCCCCTCCCCCACCCATTCGTTATTCCCAATTCATTGGCAAACATAGTTTGACCAACCTTTGACTTTAAGGAGGAGCACTTCCTCCAAGACAGATCTATTTGTGCTTCTGCAAACCCATGTGTTATTCAGTATTCTTCTTTAACACCACAACTCAAAGGCAAAAAATAACTTTTACTTATGGAAAGAATTGAAAATATCATGGCTTGGGTCAGGCTCACCCTAAGTTTTAAGCTGGCATCCTTGTTCTTTAAAACTTTGGAGATGTCTTTGACAGCACATTGTCCCTGGTCAACATGATTTTTTTTACTGCTATTACTCTGGATGTTAATTATGGCGTTAAATAAAAGGAAATCTTTGACAAATTAAGAGAGAGAGAGAGACCTTTAGTGGCCTGAACAGTAGAGTGTTGTGCTGACAACTCAAAGGCTGGTGGCTCGAATCCACTAGCTGCCCCATAGGAGAAAGACGGGCATTTTTCTCCGATGTGATTTTTGGTCTCTGAAAACCTGCTGGAGGGTCAGCTATAAGTCAGTTTTGACTCAACATCACATAACAACATGTCCAATAAAGACCCCTAGGTAGCCTAGGAGGTGGGGTGTTGTGCTTCCAGTCCAAAGGCCAGTGGTTCAAATCTACCAGCCACGCCACAGAAAAAAAGATGGTCAGTCTCCTCTCATGAAATGTAGTCTCTGAAAACTCATGGGAGGGGTCAGCTATGAGTTAAATCCTACTCAACAGCAATTGAATTAGTATTTCCTATAAATGAGCCCAAACTCAAAAGATTGAAACTGTCAAAAACTTCACCTTACTTGGATCCACAATCAGTGCACTTGGTACCAGCAGTCAGATCAGGAGATGTACTGCAGTGGACAAGTCTGTATTCAGGGGCCTCTACAAGCTACTGAGAAGGAGTGATGCCAGTTTGAGGGGCAAGGTACACCTGATTCAGGCCATAGTCTTTTCAGTCACTTTCTAGGCATCTGAAAGCTGGACAATGAATAAGGATGATGGAAGAATTTATGCCTTTGAACTGCAGTGTTGGAGAAGAGCACTGAACATCCCATGGATGGCCAGAAGAACAAACAGATGTATTGGTGAAGGTGCAGCCAGATAGTTCCTTGGAGGCAAAGATGTCAAAGCTTTGTCTCACATACTTTGGACATGTTGCTAGAAGAGGTTATTCCTTGGTGAATATCATCATGCTTTCAAAGGTGGAGAGACAGCAAAGGAGAGGAAGACCCCGAACCAGATGGATTGACACAGTGACTGCAGCAGTGGCCTGGAGTGTGTCAGACAGGATGGGACGTGGTTCGATCTGTTCTTCATAGGGTCATTGTGAGTTGTACTCAACAGCACCTGACAACCACATAAAGGAGCCCTGGTGATGTATGTGTTACATGTTGGGCTGCTAACCTAAAGGATGGCAGTTCAAATCCACCAGCCTCTTCTGAGTAGAAAGATGGGCAGTCTCCTCCTATAAAGATTTACAGCCTCAGCACCCTAATGGAAGAATCAACTCAACAGTAGTGAGTTTGGTTTTCGGTGTTGTTTATTTCAGAGAAGCTGAGAACAGTAGAGGTATGTTTATACTCAATAAGGTTGTAGTTTAGTAAGTCCACATAAAAATATAAGAAACATGTGTGGTACTAATCTGGAAGAAATTATTGATTAGAACGTAGTCAGGCAAAAAGTATCGGTGTAGACCAG